ATTCATAATATTATGAGAATAAATTCATAATATTACGAGAATAAATTCATAATATTATGAGAATAAATTCATAATATTACAAGAATAAATTCATAATATTACGAGAATAAATTCATAATATTATGACATTAAAGTCATAATATTGTGACTTTATTTTCATAATATGACCTTTTCTCGTAATATGATGACATTACTCTAATGAAAAAAAAGAATGTGGTCCTAATACTTTGTCGTATTTAAAGATCCTGTTCACAATACAAGAAATATTTTTAAGAAATGTATTTTCTGCTGTGTTCGCCCTTCCTGCTTTGTGGGTGATTCAAACTTTTTCCCCTAACTTTTGTTAAAATTTAGCAACACTCATTATATTTGGAGTATTGTTCTTTTGAGCTGTTTAAGTATTATTTATCAACTTTATGACTGAACATGTTAGATGAAAAAAAAGAAGTAGCCATATGGGGTTTTTAACACTAGAAAAAATAAATTAGAAAAATAGTAAAAAAAAAATACATTTATAGGAAAAGAATTAAAGAAAAAAAAAACTTACACAAAAACACCAGCAAATAAAATTAACTTGTAACAGCTATTGTGTTGCACTGATGTCAAAATGACAACTTTTGACAATTTATTAAAGCTATGATAGAATTAGCACTTGAAAAGTTGAGGGTATTAGAAATACACTCACCAATCATCTCTCCCTGGTCGTGAATCATGACGGCCAGATCTTTAAAAATCTGGTTTACATCCATGATGTCAGACTGAAAGGAACAACAAACACAGCGTTTTATGGGAGTGCTTCTCTAAGGTTGATAATCATGGTGAGGTACCAACAGTAGCTGTCAAAGAACAGATCATCTAGTGCAGAGTAAATACTCACCTCCAGCTGTCTGATGTTGGTCTCTCTCTCTTTGATTAGCTCGAGGTCCTCCTCTGTGATGCCGACATCCTCTGTCTGAGTCGTCATCTGATCGAAGTCTTCTTGGCTTTTTGTACAAAAAAGAAATACATAATGAATGAAAAATAAAATAAATTAGTGTTATTTTTTTGTCTTTATTAAGCTTTTTCATTTATTTAAGATGTGTATTACTGCCCCAGTTAGTCTGGTTACTGAGCAGAACATGAATTAAGTCTAAACATGTTTTCCAAGTTGCAGCTCGAACAGTTGAGTTCTGACTGAATCACTTACTTGTCAAAAGACACGAGCTTCTCATCTCGAAAACTGTCTTCATTCTGAAAGAGATCAGAGAAATAACTTGTAAAATTAAGTCAACATGAGTTCAATCATTTAAGCATCTTTCTCCTGAGTTTCTGATTGTTTTTGTTTTAAATGCATAGTGAAGAGCTTTAAGTTGAGATTATTTGAACTCGTTCTGTTTGCCTCTGCTGGTACTTACTGAAAGACGAGAGCCAGCTCTAGCCCTGGCTATGGACTCCCTCTCTTTCTCTGCAGCATGCCGCTGGACCGCCTGGAAGTTGTTGAGAGCTGCAGAGAAATCATTCATGAGCCGGTCCCTCTGGATCTTCTGTTGCCTCTGAACGTCAACAAACAAACACAGATTAACAGGTAAAAAACTCTAAATTAAGCATCTTTAACTGGACTTTCTGTTAGTTTTCATGTAGCTACGAAAACCTGAGTCTGACTGTTTTCCAGGGGGATTGAATGGGGGTGTAAGAAAATATTGATACACTGAAATATTGCTTTATTTCATTTCCTGATACTGTATCGATATTCTAAAGCCCTGTATCGATTTTTTATTAAGTTTTAAAACATCAACTTTCCTGCCAGCCGTTCATTTTTA